ATCGATACCAAATAGGGCTTAGGATATTAAAGAAAAAGGATTTAATGTTATTAAGTATTAATTTAAATTTTTTTTGCCACTAGTTTCAGCTTTAGGACTTTTATGGTTAAGCATGACAATTTAGACTATTGTTTTAGAAATTGACTTGGCAGGGTCCGCTCTAATTAAACTAAGTGAACGAATCGAATCGAATCGAATCGGAAATCTATCGATTCAATTAGTGACAAGACATTTTGATCGAGTCAATGATCCAATTTTAAACCTAGACAATTCAAGAAATAATTATTTGTCCATATTTGGAGCCTATTTGACAACCATTTTGGTAGGAAAAAAAAAGGTTTTGGATAGTGATTTTTAGGATAAATTGAGGATCTGATATAGGCATGTTAAAGTTAGGGAACATTGGAATAAGGATAGTTCTAACATTCAAAGTAGTCTGTATAGTTTTTATGCACGCATGTTGATATTCTGAGAATCTGGCATCAATGAGTGAAATTCTTGAAATTGTAGGGAGACCTTTTCTACCATGAAGGGTAAGAGTAGAGATGTCAATCGAGCCGAGCGGTTCAACCGTTCAGCTCGTACTGTTCATGCTCACAAGCTGCTCGGGCTGGTCAAACGACGAGCCCGAGCTCGAGCCGAGCGGACCGGTTCGTAGACGAGCCGAGCTCGGCTCGGCACATTAAGAGGCGAGCGCTCGTGGGAACGAGCCCACGAGCCGAGCTCGTGAAAAAACATTTAAAAAATAAAAATAAAAACTAAGAATTTTTTTTTTTTTTTTGACGAGCCACGTGCTCGCCCACGAGCAAACGAGCCACGAGCGGCTCGGCTCGTGAGGTCGTGGCTCGTTTCTCCACGAGCCCGAGCCGAGCTTGTGGCTTAAAGGGCCGAGCTGGCTCGGCTCATTGACAACACTAGGTAAGGCTGTAAGACACGAGCCACGAGCCCGAGCCGAGCTCGTGGCTTAAAGGGCCGAGCTGGCTCGACTCATTGACAACACTAGGTAAGAGCTAATCTTACAGCTCCAAAGTGAAGATGGTTGTATCCTTCTGATAACCAAACACTTGGAAGATGTGGATTGTGGGGGTTCCAATCAAACTGTTCCTGATTGATAGTAAGAAGGAGATGTTGGTCAAATTTTGTAGCTTGAATATACTCTTTGACTCGCGAATTTTGAGGAGTTATGTGGCTTGAGATAGATTTAGAAAAAGATCGGTGTGGTTTAGAATATGCTAAATATGGATTTACAAGAGGAAGGTTGGTAAGAGTGATTTTATCATATTCATCTAAGTAGGATATCTCGTATATTCATCTAAGTAGGATATCTCGTAATGATAATTCATGTTAGTAGAAGTGGATTTTCTGAAAGAAGATGAAGGGGTCAATATAGGAGAGTGATTAGAGGAAGTTGATAAGCTACGAGCAAAAAGGAAGAGGAGTAGAATGATTTTCTGAGGACATGAGAATGATCATTTTCTCACTTGCAACCCTTCATTCTAATAATTCACCTTAAACAAGAACATGAAAATCAACTATTTATAATTCATGGCTCTGATACCAATTAGGGAGAGTTTTGACCCAGGTATTCTAGCTCGAAAACAAACAGCCAATCCAAGGCTTCAAATACAAGGCCTGAATTTTAGGATTGCAAATCTTCTTGTAGGATCATCATGATCTGTAACACAATTTCTAATACTATTGATACTCTGAAGAGGCAATAGTATACTCATTTAATTATTCAGTTCAGGGACGGACCCCCTCCCTCCCTCTCCCTTTTTTTTACGTATTAGCCCGACCTGTAATTCGAACCTGGATCCGTCCCTGGTTCAGTTAGTTGATTAACGTGACTGGTCTAAAACTAATATTAGAACTCTAGTTGCTAATGAGAAAACGGAGAAGATTTAGAAATTGACATTAGTAATTTCCTTTCTGAATTTAAGTTAGGTTGTATTTCATCTGTGCATGACAACATATTGACTTGTAATTGACAATATTTACCCATATAACAAGCTGCCTTACTCTCTTTCTAAATAATTATTTTCGAACGACTTTGTAACATGGTAAGTTTCAACTTGTTCAATTTTCGGATGAAGAAAACTCCAAAAATTATTTGGAAGTAAGGTTGTTGGAAATTTTTCAAAATAAGTAGATCCAGAGAAAATGTGCTTATAATGTATGCTACGATAAGCCACTTAGCTTATGTTAAAAACCAAATGATTGACTAAATTATGAAAATATGTGTTTATAATTATGAAATAATTGCCAATTATTCAATTATATATATACTTTTTCATTTTTTCACTCTTGGAATTAACTTTGTCAAGAAATATATTGAACAATTCAAAATTATTGCGTGACAACTCTTTGCATACCACTCTATTGATGAGAGCAAGTTATATTTCCATAGAAACAACATATAGTGTCCATTTCAAAGACCTTCTTTTGCTTCTATTTCTTGTAAAAGAGTTTTCTGAATAAGTTATCTTAAATTTGATTTCTTGTAAAAGCTCTTTTTGCAAAATAGAAGGTTCATAAGCAACTTCTTAATCTAAAAGTTTCAGGAGCAATTTTTAACTTTTCAAAATTGCCAAACGAGCTCATAATGAGTCTTGAAGTACGGATTTGAGAAGACTTTTTGTAATAAAGACGAATAATATGGTGAAAACTTTTAACAGCCATGATCTTCTACCCCCAGTAGGCAGTAGTGGGAAGTTTTATCCTGTCAACTGGGGCATAAGATCAATTTCAATACTTTTAATGCATTTCAACCAGTTGATTCTTTTGTACTCATATGATTGGCATCTTTTTTCTGCAAACTAGTTTAGGTAGCAGTTATTAGTTACATATGGTTATTCTTGTATTTAATACCTTTATTAATTTGATAATGCTATCCATAGCCTCGATTGCAGTAGTCATTTGATGTGACAATTTGTTATTTGAGACACTACTTTCCTGTAATTCTGTACCTCAAATAACAAACTGTCTTATTAATTAGCCTAATCTTATTTACCTCCTAAATACCTGGGATAACGATAATTCACTCTCTCATGGGCTTTGCTTGACGATGCAATAGCACATGGTTAGGTTTTATTATGCAAAAACTACATGGCACGTGGGATGGGGTCAACAAAGACATTTAACGGAGGTCACACAACTTTCTTGTTTGTTTCATCGTGATAATTTTTTGAATTTTGACCCAAATTCCTATTGGATTTGTTAATTGATAGAAGGAACAAGAGTCTTCTTAATTTGGAAGCTAGGTTGAAAAAAAAGATTAAAGTTCATTATGGATTAAAAGTTTGATTAGTAAAATAATTTTGGATAATTGAAAGCTTAGTTTTGAAGTTTTGGATAGCAAGTCAGTGCCCAAGTGCTTGGTTCGGGGCACCTATACGCCCATAATAGAATAAAAGATAAAATTTGACCAGACAAGCAGATCCCCGGTGCTACAGTTGTGGCGATGTGTTCTAGCTAGAGAGTCCTTTTTCGATTCCGATTCGTTTCTTGTATTGTATCTCATTCAAAATATTTACATTGTGTTCCTATATATACTCCACATGATGTATCATTTTTATAACCTTGTGAGGTATGGCAAAATATTGTATAGCATGGAGAGAACATCAAAATCAGAGAATATAGATTATATAGAAAGAGACTCGAATATTTTAAGATAGGTTGAGTCTTGCAAGATCTTTTTGTACTTCTTTGTACATCTTGTCATATTTTATTGGAATAATGCCTTGCGTACGCACTATTCATACAGGGACCTTGCAGGCCCCTCACTGTTGGGGGGCCCACATGTATTTTCAAAAAAAATAGTGCTGTGCAGGCCCCATCTTCGTGTGATGTCTGACTTCCCCTGTGAACCTGCTACCTGTACGTGAAGCAGCATTCTATTTTATTGGTTTAGTATTCACAACAAGTGGTATAAGTTTTATCACCGGGTTACTACTTATTGACTTGTTTTGCAACATAATTCAACTTTAATTTATTTCAATTTGATCATTTAACTAAATCATTCCTGCATATCAATTTATTTTATGTGCATTTTGGAAAACTTACGGGATTTAACTTGTTCATTTGAGTCATGTTAGTAAAAAAAGAAATTGATTTAACGTTAAGCAATTACCAAATGATGCATTTTCGTAACCACGTGAAACATGCCATTAAGTTTGGTCTGAAATGAACAAAACAGATAAAAAATATAAATTTGGTAACTAAATTAAAACAAATGAAGCAAAGTGACCAACGTGAAACAAAGTTGCAAACTCGGTGACTAACCCTAGTCTACATGTATATAATTTTATACATAATCTTTTGCACCCCACTCACATTACCGAGCTGGGGGCCACGAGCGGACATTTTTTACTACACTTGGGGGGCATGCATTGTGAGTGAGGAGAGGGGGGGGGGGGGCATTCGGTAAACCCCCCTCGGTACAAGTGGAATAACCCTTGATAATAACACCACGTTACACTATAATGTCAAGCATGTGCATTACAATTATGAATAGTGGGTTTGTCTCATATAATGTCAAAGAAAAGCACATGTAAAGTCACATCAAATTGATCGTTGCTAAATATTCTATAATTCCAAGATTTGATTATCTTTTGTTTTCCTTCATAAAATAGCAAGAGATCCCCTAAGTTGGGGTGTGGGTTTTGATCCATTCACGGCTCTTCCGTTGGGAAATCCATGTGGGGTTTCAAAGAAATGGACAGAAGAACATGGGAATAATTGAATGAGATTCAGAATTCTTCAGACTTCTTAAAGATAATTCTTTTTTTTCCCTTCCTAGTTGCAGTTTCACATGTGAGGCTATTGCATTGCAGAAAATAAATTCTTGTACTCATATAAGTTTGTGTTTTGCAGAGCCATTAACTGAAATAACCTCACTAATCTTTCTTCTCATTCTTCTCTTCTTGCAGTTGGCATCGAGAAAAATGTCTAAAAATGTCATTTTACCAATCTTACTTATAATTGGAGTCTCTTGTGTTCTCATGAAGGCCAGTGCCTTCACAGCTTCTGGTTGGACTCAAGCTCATGCAACCTTCTATGGAGGCAGTGATGCTTCCGGGACAATGGGTGCGAGATGACAACACATATTTTTTTTCTTGCTACATCTACTAGAAGATCGTTAATTTATGAAAAACCCTTTTTTTTTTTATTGTTTTGTAACAGGTGGTGCTTGTGGATATGGGAACTATGGGACTAGAACTGCAGCATTGAGCACTGCATTGTTCAATGGTGGAGCATCATGTGGGCAATGTTACAAGATTATGTGTGATTACAATGCTGATCCTAAATGGTGCATCAAGGGGACTTCAGTTACTGTTACTGCTACAAACTTTTGCCCTCCAAACTATGCTCTTCCTAGTGACAATGGAGGCTGGTGCAACCCACCTCGCCAGCATTTCGACATGGCTCAACCCGCTTGGGAAAAAATTGGAATTTATAGAGGTGGAATTGTGCCCGTCATCTACCAAAGGTCGTTACTTTTCTCTTAATATAGCTTACTAGCTCTTCTAAGTTAGCTTGTACATTTATCTCGTGCATCACGACCTGACGATTGATATTTTATACGTGATGTAGGGTCCCGTGCAAGAAACGCGGTGGAGTTAGGTTCACCATCAATGGAAGGGACTACTTTGAGCTTGTAATTATTAGCAATGTGGCCAATGCTGGATCTATTCAATCAGTGCAAATCAAGGGCTCAAAAACAGACTGGATGGCTATGTCTAGGAATTGGGGTGCTAATTGGCAATCCAATTCTTACCTCAATGGTCAATCTATATCCTTCAAGGTTACAACCACTGATGGTCAAACAAGAACTTTCCTAAACATTGCCCCATCAAATTGGGGCTTTGGCCAAACATTTTCAAGCTCTGTCCAATTCTAAGTTGATAATGGGCCATCGAGTTTTAGGTTTTGGGCTTTCATGGTTTATAGGCTGAGGCGTGCTTATTCTTTTACTGAAAGCAGCCCGCCAATGTTTTGGGCTATAGTATACATTCGGACCTGAATTTAAAGTCCACCAGAAATTTGGTTGGACTGTGTATTTATCCATTGTTTTAAATTCTATTGAAAGAGAGATTTTCCAAATAAGAAGCAAATTTCATTTGCAGCTTCAGAACTTTGTTTCAGAGTTTTCTTCTTCTTCTTGTTCTTCTTCTTTAAATGTTTAGAACAACACTAGGTGTATAGAATTTGCTTTACAGATACACATTGGATGATTTTTCATTTGTTCATGGCAAAAAATACAAAAAACATATTGAATCAGATGCTGCCAACACAACATTTGGAAAACTTCTGTAAGGATTTCTTTTGTACACATGATTTTGGCCTAATTTTTATCCATACCTGGTAATGTGAGTATAATAAGAAGAACACAGTCACGGTTCACATACATTCTTTGCAATATGATTAGTATTAAATCAAGATTTATTTGAATAATTAAGCTCACCTTGAGAAAGAAATGTAAAATCCAATTTTTTTTGACCAGCTGAGACGTGATTCGTTTCTATGAGTCCGTCCACGTCGAAAGACGACTTTACTGTTAAATTATTTTTATTTAAAACTAATCAGAGTTGAATATACGTTGCATGTTATTTTGAAATGTTTTATAAGTGTTGTGAAAGTAATATTTGATCATCAATTTACCATTTTGATTTAAATATGAGAGAAATGCAAGACCTTGAAAATAAATATTAATTATTATACATGCACGTAAATAGTGAAATGCATACTTGAACGTAAGTATTAGAATTACAACTAAATGCATAAATGAAAATGAATGACAAATACGGTACATGAATTAACGTGAATGTTGACTGAGCTTCATTCTTGAATGTGAAGATGAATGACAGATATGATACACTAATTAACGTCAATTAATTAACATTCACATTCATTTTTGTAGTATTTAATTATTTATTACAGTTTGTAAATTAAATACATACTGAAAAATAAAAAATAATGTATTGTTGAAATAATTGAATTGTAGTAAGTTTATAATCGTCCAAAAAATGATTTCAATTTAATGTGATATTTAATATATTATAAATTGGCTAACATGTGGCTAGAATTTGAGAGTTGAATGACAATTGAATTTCTAGCTCGTTTAACGACCAAAAATATTTTGGCTCACACGAGAAGGGCAAAATATGCTGAATTGTTGTTTGTGATACATGATGTTTCAAATGTAGAGCATGGCAACCGATGGAGATGAGGGCAAAATGGAAATATTGTGTATGAAAGTCTGAAATTATACAATAACTTGTATTGTCTTTGTTAGATGAAACTGATATAAAATAGTCATCCACGATCGAAATTCTTCTACAAATGGGTTCAAAATTGGGACCAAACATGCGCTAAATCTAGTTTCGTAGGAAAATAAGAAATTCTAACTTAATATTTTAAATAAAGACAAATTCTAAGGGATTAATCTAAATAAATCTCTTAATAATTAAAAAAAGAAATAAACAAAAAATTAATTTCCATGAATAATAAAAGTTTGATTTGACAACTTAAAAGATGGAATTTGACCACAAAATCGGTGGACACAAGGGCATTATTCAATGATATAAACTTTGTGATTCATTTTTGTCCAGAAAAGTAATATTATTTATCCAATTTTGACATGGTTGACTAGATCAATATATCCGATTGCATTATTAACCTCAGGTTGAAAAAGATTCATCCTCGCGTCTTGCAATGTAAGCTTTTGCCAATAGTCATCTCTACTGTGTTCTCAATATGATTAGTGCACTTCATGGTGAAACTAACCTCAATTGCAATACTAGAAACCCATAGTGCTGACATAATTATATCCACATTCAATGTTTCCTAAATACAATTTTCTAGAACATCATCGTTGTCCTCGTGGTTAAACATAGGCTAGCCATCATAAAAATCGCGTAAATCAACAACTCACAAATCGGGAATAAAGGGAGCAAAAATGTTAGATTCATCCTTGGAACCCTCCTCTTTATGCCTCTACAACCATCAAATCATCGTGAAAGAAAATATACATCTACTAATTCAACATTTGCATTTGTATGTTGATGCCAAAATTTTCGCTATCCATATTTCACGAATACCAAAACGTCTCTATCAAGAACGTGGCTATAATGTGGTACAAAATTGATGCAAAGACAATTATGCGAATGATGCTCAACACTCCAAACAATCGTTGATTCAATTAAATACTAGAATTTGACCATCAATTATTATTCATCCAATTTCGACACAATTAATTGACTCAACATATCTGATTGCATCAGTTCGACAACCTCGACTTGTCATGGTCAATGTTCTCTCTCGTGCAATTACAATATCACTACTTTAAAAAGAAAATGTAACTAAAATATTTGATCCATTGATTGGGAGAAACAATGTATCAACAAACTATTTTATATACATTTGGGATGAAAACATGCATGGTCGTTGACCAGTTTCACTTAATCTTTCTCCAGGATACCATAAACAATTCTTCAAGGGAGCCGAGGCTTTTCTTAAGATAATATATGAAGTACAGAGTACAAACATGTTTTCATCGAATGTCTTACGATGTAATGGAGCTAAGATAAGCATAATTATGTGCAGCCTACACTTCTATACAAAACTTAGAGCCTGTTTGGTAACAATTCTCCTTTTCTACAGTAAATCACTTCTCATTTTCAACCACACATTCTTCAATAAAATAATATTTTCCATCACATCAATACTTTTTTCTTCTTTTTCAACCACACATTTCCCATCATATCACTATTCAAAAATCAATTTTTCTCCTTCAACCACTTCCCGGTGAGTGTTCCACCGTCGACGAACCCTTTTTCGGTTGAATATAAAACTGACTTAATCGTCGGAGTGTTTGCGGCCGCTCTTACCCCTTCCGGGAGAGGCCACGAGTGACTAATGGCGTGCTGCGTGTGCAGGAAGAGCTGACTTGAAGACTTATCCAGTTGGCCACGTGTCCGAACCATTTTTCGAAGTCAACAATGCGAATGATGCTTAACACTCGAAACACTCGTTGATTCAATAAAATACGAGAATTTGATCATCAATTATTAAATGAATCTCTAAGAATACTTAATAATTGGAAGAATTGGTAAATTCTCAATTAGTCATTAATAAACAACAAAGTTGCAATGAATTCTAAAACTAACTTTAAAAGAAGATAAGAAATCCTAACTTAATATTCTAAATAAAGACAAACTGAAGACTAAACTAAACAAATCTCCTAATAATTATTAAAACAAGAAATAAATAAATTTAATCAATTTCAACCTGAATATTAAAAATTCTAATTTTAGAGCTTAAACGATGCAATTTGTTCACAAAACCGGTGGGCTCAAAGACTATAGCACATGAGTTCGGCTTAGTGGCTCATTTCTATCTAGAAAGGTGATATTATTCATCCAATTTCGACACAATTAACTGACTTGACATATCTGATTGCATCATCTTGACAACCTCAACTTGTCATGGTCAATGTTTTCCCTCGAGCAATTAAAATATGAACCCAACTGCAGAGCCAGGGATGGTGTCACACCCTCCGTGACAGAACACACACATCGGGGGGAGGGAAGCATTTTTTTCATTTTTATTTAATGCGGGTCTTACACTCATGTGAAGTTAGGTCAACCAGGTTGGGCTAACTAACTTAATTCTTAAAATATCACTACTTTAAAAAGAAAATGTAACTAAAATATTTGATCCATTGATTGGGGGAAACAATGTATCAACAAAATATTTTATATACATTTGGGATGAAAACATGCATGGTCGTTGACCAGTTTCACTTGTAATCTTTCTCCAGGATACCATAAACAATTCTTCAAGGGAGCCGAGGCTTTTCTTAAGATGATATATGGAGTACAGAGTACAAACATGTTTGCATCGAATGTCTTACGATGTAATGGAGCTAAGACAAGCATAATTATGTGCAGTCTACACTTCTATACAAAACTTAATTATTGTTTGGCAAAATTTATAAATTATTTATAAATGCTCAAACTTTGTTTTCAATTATACAAATTTTAATGGATTCACATGTATTATCTATTTTTCTATATATAAATTCTCCCAAATGGAGATTAGGATGTGTAGATCAAAAAAGTGATGCTATTGTGTCAGTTAAAAGTAAAATAAGGCTCTGTTGATTGCAACGAATTTCATGAAAAATGTTACATTCGAGGAAAACGAATTCCACTTTGACCGTTTGATTGCAACGTGGAAATGGAAACCGAATTCTAAAATACAACCACTTTAAACTGCATTGTCTTTGTTTTCATGAAAAATTGATTTCTATGAGTTTGGTGGATTTTTATTTTCCAACTGACATGGAATTAAAATTTCTTTCCACTTTTACCTTTCAAACGGATCCTCAAATAAAATAAATTAAATTGACTTCAACTCTCTCATATATTTGTTCAAGGTAGTTTGGGTATTTGAGCCACTTCCATTGGGCTGTTAAAAGTCAAACCTTAAAGAAAAAAGTTGCAAATCTTTTATATTCTTTTCCCCTTAATTTCCAGTATTATTTCCATTGGGTTGTTAGAAGTCAAACCTAAAAGAAAAAAAGGTACAAATCTTTTATATTCTTTTCCCCTTAATTTCCAGTATTATTTGTGTATCATTTGAAAATGCCGAAGATTATCAAGATTATCTAACTTAAGCTTTTAGATGAGATAATTTACTTAATATTAGAGCTAGTAAAAAATTTTGAAATCGAGTTTCGTCTTCGTCTTCAACTTTTTATTAAAGATATACGCGTATTAGACTTTTGATCAAAAATAAATCTGGTATGCTTGCATATGAGGAGACGTGTTGAGAGAAGATTTAATGCATATATAGAATCGACCCTTCTCTAATAAATAAGTTAAATTTTCCTGTAAATGTGCAAAAGAATGAATTAGTTATGAAATATGCATAATATATCTGTCCATAGAACTGTAAAGCATACAATTATATCAATTAAAGTTGCCAGCACCAACTTTAATCATTTTGTTTTCCAGTTATGTGGATTCCTACTAGATTTCTTTATTAGCCAAAGTGGAATATAATTAGTTCATGGCTTCATGCTTAAGCAAAATGACTTGGTAATGAAAAAGATTTATGGTTTTGTTTCCCCATATAAGGAATATTCTCAAACTACTCCCGCGAACTCTAGTGATTCTAGCTCACCAAACAAGCTAATAAACCCTATCCATGCACTTTAACAATTTGCACACACACCGGGGGTTGGCCAGGGCGGGGGGGGGGGGGGGGGGGTTTGCATAGAATGTATACTATAAGAAACAAATACACATAGACACTATTTGATTGTGACATTTGTCACATTCGAGAAAAACGAATTTCACTTTGACCGTCTGATTGCAACGTGAAAATGGAAACCGAATTCCAAAATACAATCACTTTAAGCTGCATTATCTTTGTTTTCATGGAAAACGAATTCCTATGAGTTTGGTGGATTTTTATTTCCAACTAACATGGAATTAAAATTTCTTTCCACTTTTACCTTTCAAACGGATCCTAAAATAAGTCAAACCTTAAAGAAAAAAGTTGCAAATCTTTTATATTCTTTTCCCCTTAATTTCCAGTATTATTTCCATTGGGTTGTTAGAAGTCAAACCTAAAAGAAAAAAAGTTACAAATCTTTTATATTCTTTTCCCCTTAATTTCCAGTATTATTTGTGTATCATTTGAAAATGCCGAAGATTATCAAGATTATCTAACTTAAGCTTTTAGATGAGACAATTTACTTAATATTAGAGCTAGCGTTTCGTCTTCGTCTTCAACTTTTTATTAAAGATATACGCGTATTAGACTTTTGATCAAAAATAAATCTGGTATGCTTGCATATGAGGAGACGTGTTAAGAGAAGATTTAATGCATATATAGAATCGACCCTTCTCTAATAAATAAGTTAAATTTTCCTGTAAATGTGCAAAAGAATGAATTAGTTATGAAATATGCATAATATATTTGTCCATGAACTGTAAAGCATACAATTATATCAATTAAAGTTGCCAGCACCAACTCTAATCATTTTGTTTTCCAGTTATGTGGATTCCTACTGGTTTCTTTATTAGCCAAAGTGGAATATAATTAGTTCATGGCTTCATGCTTAAGCAAAATGACTTGGTAATGAAAAAGATTTATGGTTTTGTTTCCCCATATAAAGAATATTCTCAAACTACTCCCGCGAACTCTAGTGACTCTAGCTCACCAAACAAGCTAACAAACCCTATCCATGCACTTTAACAATTTGCTCAGTCACCCCTGGTTGGGTGGGTTAAGGTGGGGTGGGGGAGTTTCCTACAAATACTATTCATACATTATTATCTCTTACAGTAAGCGATCAAGACGCTTATACTATGGCAGCCAATCATCTTCCTCTAGTGACTTTTTTTCTATTCTCTTTGATATTGGGTTATTCGAATGCATTAAGTGTAGATTACTACCACCAAACATGCCCTAATGCCGAGTCGATGATACGAGAAGCTGTAAAGAAAGCTATGATGAATGACAACACAGTTCCAGCTGCTCTACTTAGGATGCACTTCCATGACTGCTTCGTTAGAGTACACATTTTCCATTATGATTTTTACTAGTAATAATTTTGTTTTTTTCATTTTTCAGTATTTTTTAGTCTTCATACTAATTTTCATGGTGTTTATTTATATATATTTCAAGGGCTGCGATGCTTCTGTGCTGCTGAACACCAAGGGGAAGAACAAAGCTGAAAAAGATGGCCCTCCTAACATTTCCTTGCATGCGTTTTATGTTATTGACAATGCTAAAAAGGAAGTAGAGGCACAATGTCCTGGAGTAGTCTCCTGTGCTGATATACTGGCTCAAGCTGCTAGAGATGCAGTTTCTCTTGTAAGTTCAATTTCGACTCATCGACTCGTCTAAAAATTTAAGCTCAATTCTCAGGACACTACGTTGTTTATTAGACAACACTACAAATAAAAAATAAAAAAAGGCAATACCAGTAACAACATTTGTTACTTTCCAAACATGTCTTTGACATAGAATAATATGATCATAGATTCAGTTGCAGTTGTTGTTACTATTTCAATTGAGTATGTTTTGGACAAATTCCCTTACTAATAATTGCACTAAAAATCCATTTTAGTCTGGAGGTCCTACTTGGTATGTACCAAAAGGGAGAAAAGATGGAAGAATTTCGAAAGCTACTGAAACCAGACAACTACCAGCACCCACATTCAATATATCTCAATTGCAGCAGAGCTTCTCCCAGAGAGGCCTCTCTATGGATGATTTAGTAGCACTCTCAGGTAACAGTAAAGTCTTTCTCAAACTAATTTTGTCCCTTCAGCATGGAATATTCGATCGATCCTTTTTGGACTTGTGGCACCAAATTATGCGTCTCATGCTACATGTCAGATAGTTATGATGGTTCGTCGCCCTCCGAAGCAATTTTTTTTTTTTTAAACTATGAGTGTGTTTGATGGATATTATTGAGAAAAGAAAGTATTTAAATAGTGATATGATGGGAAACATGTGGTTAAAGAAAGGTTATTGATGTGATGAAAAATATTATTTTATTGAAGAACGTGTGGTTAAAAATGAGTTATGAAATAATGTATTTTGAAAGAATGTGTATCAAACACGGNGAAGGAAAACCCAAAAAGTATTGAGTTCATTGTTAAACCTTGTTGATTTTAAGGCACCGTTTGGTAACCATTCTTTTTTTCATTCTCATTCTTCTACTAATTTTCAACCACACATTCATCAATAAAATAATATTTTCCATCACATCAATACATTTTCCTTCATTTTCAACCACAAAAAAAGTTTGATTTGACACAAAGAATACATTTTTTCTAGAATAATGGTTACCAAACGGTGCCTAATTGTGACTTTCACGCAATGTGTAGATAAAATTAAACTTCGATTTTAACTTTATAGATATAACGAGTTTATAAACTAAAAATCAATTTTTTATTAAATCTTGATAAAAGTTGTGATTTAAAAGTTGATAAAAGTTGTTAGTCCCATAAAATATGTTGTTTAAAATAAGTTTGTAGAAAAATAAATTATAAATAATTGGGACCAAACAGGGGCTATTTTGTTTGCGTAGTAGACAAAAATAATTGTAGTAGAGTTCGAGGGAAATAAAAAAAAAAATTTCCTTTCTCTCACAAATTTGGTCATAAAATGATTTTCTCCACAATTATATCTACAGTCTACTTTGACATGTACATGCAGGAGGTCACACGCTAGGTTTCTCTCATTGTTCATCCTTCCAGAACAGAATTCACAACTTCAACGCCACAACAGACATTGATCCATCCAGTCATCCATCTTTTGCAGCAAGTTTAAGGCGAATTTGTCCCCTGCATAACAAGGTGAAAAATGCAGGATTCAGACTAGATTCTTCTCCAACTACGTTTGACAACACCTATTACAAGTTACTTCTCCAGGGAAAAAGTCTTTTCTCCTCCGACCAAGCTTTACTTACTACTACAAGAACCAAATCATTGGTCTCGAAATTCGCCCGCTCGCAAGAAGAATTTAATAAAGCATTTGTTAAGTCCATGATCAAGATGAGCAGCATAAATGGTGGAACTGAGATTAGGAAAGATTGCAGATTTGTTAGGTAAAAGGTTGTTAAATTAATTGAATCCAGAATGATTGTGTTTGTGTGTTTGGTAAAGATTTTTTAGGAACAAAACCAAGAAAAAGTGAAGCTTTTGTGTTGTTTGAGGAATATGGAGTTGTCCAGCAAAAATAATGTAATTCTGAATTCAATTTAATTGTGATATTTTTGCTTAATTTGTTGGATTGTCTTTGTACATTTCTAGTTTTTATTATAACTAGTGTAGATCGTGCGTTGCACGATAACCGTTATAATTTTGGTAATTCGACAATTGAACAATGGCAAATATAGTATTGAATTGTTTCAAGTAATGAATATTTAGACATCTTTTAAATTACACCACTTAAATCTCTACTTGATGTACAAAAATTGATCCCTTTTTATTGATGAATTACATCTTTTCAGACAGATAAAAACAAGAAGAAGCCTCTGAAGTCTGAATCTAATAAAGAATTTAACTTCCAACTAAAGCTTATCCTTAAAGTCCCCTAAACAAATAAAAGAAGTATGATAAGAATATGACTATAACAAATAGTTTCTGCTATCCTTTCTTCTTTTTTTCTATTTGAAACACTGAAATTGTCATGTAACAAAAGTTATTCCAATAAAGTAACAAAGACTTCAAAGTTTTCAAAGTTGTACCTTGGCATAAATTGAATACATATAAAATAATTCTAAACCTTCTCTGTCTGTTAATACTTGCTCTGTATCCATTCCTTATTGTTCATTTGCTTATAGAACCTTTTATCAGCCATCATTATCAATATTTGCTGCACATCCACCTGTCGAAGTGAAGAAGAGTGCTGTTGTTTCATAAATACCACATCCTTCCCACCCATCTTTATACCAACAATAATATGCATGCCAAACTTTTCAATGAACCTGAAAGTAAAACATAAACATATAACAAAGGAGGAATCTTAGAAAAAACAATACATTTTAAAATATAACACAAAGGTAGCAAATGGTATCATGGATGCATCCAATTATATTTAATAACAGAACTCAACCACCTTTAGCTTAAAATTTATAAGACTTCCTTTGTAAATAATATATTCTCATATAGAATTTTAGATGATTAACAATGTAAAGAGCAGAAGGAAACAGTGTTTCACGTCCATATAAATTTTGAAAATACAGTAGCAATCAGAATTATATGTAGCATATTTGAAAGATGTATGACAGCAATAGAATAGATATATGCAAATGTATATTTGAAAACAATTCCCCTACTCCATGAAAGCAAACAGAAAGTTAAAAAAAGAGAAGTATGACAATCTTAAACAACTCCAGCTCTTTAAGAAGAATAATAACTTCATTACAGAATAAGCCACCTATAATTTCAATTACAAGTGCAATATTTCAATGCTTATCATCAGACGTGAAATACAAGTGCAACGTTAATCTTGACATCACCAAAATAATATTAATACATGAATTCAAGCATCAAGAAGCCAAAGTTATTTCTGATGAAAATTTATTTACCAAGAAAATAATGTTTTCTTCTGAAAATTCCTCATTTATAATAACGTAAAGAGGCATTAAAATATATCTTTAGCATGAACTCGACAAATTTATAAATGAATTATTTATCGAAGAATTTCTTAAACCGTTTATTTTCTACTAAAGATAAATATGTTGATCACAGATTCACAATCGGATCAATTCAGAACCATAAGAAAGTTCGCCAGATTCAAAGAATCGTTTAAACCCTCCAAAATACGCTATTAAACACACAAGAATAAGAACCTATTTCATACCTGATCCAAAAAAGTTCATTTTTTACCAAATCTATTTTTAATCATGCGGGGTCCACCCCATGTGAGAGGGTGGACACCCTTATGTACAAGAAATTATGTACAAGTAGCATAGTTCTATTAAATTTATGTTTATCTAATATTCAGCCATGTAGAAAATTGTTCTCTATGGTTCCTAATTGTACGTCAGGTTCAAATTTATATATGTGGTTATAGTATTAAACACAATAAGCATGTTTTAAGGTACAAATATTTCTCTACAAATTTCATGGTCAATGTATCATTTAGTTTTCTAAAACCGATTTCATGCATCAAACACATGCACAATATTAAGTATTAGAATAAATAAATAAAACGAAAAGAGAGGAGAAGAAAAGGAGTTCATAAATTAAATGACTCTTCTTCCAAACATCATGACACCATTTTACTAAATTTAATTAACACTTTCAATTACACATCCAACTTCACCACAATAAATAGGACAGACCTTACTAAAGATACATCATTATCATTACAGAAGAAATTTCACTTTGGTACCAATTTGTACTCAGTTTTAAATTAGTGGATCGAAATAGGCCACAACCCATCATTTTATTCAATAACAGAAAATACGTAATGCATTTGTAGCATATAAATTATGTGTACATACCAGCCCTTGCACCCTTCACACTGCACCATGACATCATCTGGATTATGAGACATTCCACACTTACAATACCTATAGAAACATAAAACACAGTGTATTATTTGAAGTATATAAATTTTTGAAGGAAGAAGATAAAGATAGATATGACATCTTAAGACTATACCAATTATAATTCAGAAGAAAAGCAAAGAAGAATAAGCAAAATGAGGTAGATGAGAAAGTTGTAATCTACTAAAATTAAATGGAATAGAGAGCACCATATTAGGTCTACTTTACAAGGAAGTCTTATTAATTAACTTCATACTGTTGCAATATAAGCATAATTATGGATTATCCTAACACTGAATTGTGAATTAGATCACGTTCATGTCACTCAGATAGGAAAACAATTAATTAATTTAAATTGAATGACAAGAACAATGTAGAAAT